TGCTCGTTTTAGGGACGTCTTGCACTAGTATCTCAACAAGCCTGGATATTCAATGGCACTCTTCGTGACAATATTCTATTTCACCGTCCTTATGACCCAGAGCGTTATTCTACGATCCTAAAGGCTTGCGCACTTGAATCTGATATTAAACTATTACCTGATGGAGATCAAACGGATATAGGTGATAAGGGTGTCAATCTCTCTGGTGGTCAAAAACAGCGTGTTAGGTAATTTAATTTAGTTAATTAAATTTTAGCAGTGTTACCTAAGACTTTCTTAATACAGATCCACTATTTTCTCCTTTTCAGTATTGCACGAGCCTGTTATGCGGAGGCAGATGTCTATCTCTTTGACGATCCATTGGCTGCAGTTGATGCTCATGTAGCTACTCACCTCCTCACTCATGTGTTCGGCCGAGGCGGTCTTCTGTGTGGCAAGACCCGTATTATAGCAACCCATCACCCCATCGCTATTGCAGCTGCTGACAGAGTTGCTGTTCTAGAGTCTGGACGCCTGGTTGAATTTGGTAGCTATGCTTCTTTGACTGGACGTACTAGTCGATTGAATGACTTCTTGAAAAGTGAGGAGCTAAAGAAACGCCTTTTGTCTGAAAGTGAGGCTGTGTCTGAATCCGTTGCTGCTCCTACTGAAAAATTAGTCTGTCGAAGGCGTGGTACTTCAACAGATTCTGCAAGGCCAAATGTTATGGTTGTGCCTTGCGATCTTACCGAATGTATGTTCCTCCTTTCTTAGACATCCTTTTATTGTTGGTTCATTCTGATATTCTACTCTTCATTGATTTTAGTGACTCCAATGGAAGAATCTGAGGAATTAGGAACTGAAGTAGATACGGAAGAAGATATTAAATCAATCTCTTCTACTGCTTCCGATGAGGTTACTTTCATCCCATGTTAATTTGCAAATTTTCATTTACTGAAAGCTAATACCTGACACTACATATTTCAGGAGGAATTTCATTCTAAAGACATCGCATCTGAAGTAAAGGAGGAACCTCATGAAAGACAGAAACCCTCGACTGAGGAGACTTCTGCGACTGGACGAGTACCAATAGTTGCTTATGATAGATGCTACCAGTTTATTCTTCTATGGCTAATTTCGATTCATTCTTTTTTCTCAGGTGAAATTCGCAGTGTTCTGGTTGTATATCTGCCAAGTAGGAGTATGCTTTGTCATAACGGGTGTAGTTATGATTCTACTCAATCAGCTTTCTTGGTTGGGTAATAATTTGTGGCTAGCGGATTGGTCGAAGGAGAATGCAAACAGCGGCGCCGATAATTACACAGCCCCACAACCGAAGTTTGCAATCGGATTGCGTTTGGGCGTTTACAGTATTATTGGCTTGTCTCAATGTAAGTTTGGCGTTTTAACTCTCCCTTCACATATGCATTTGCTAAGGCTTCTACTTCATTAGTTCTCCCTCATCATCAGCAAGGAGGTACATGATGTTATCTGACTAGGCAGCAATTAGCTTTTATAAAACATGAAACTTTAGACTTCGAGGTCAGTCTCGTCTCGTTTTTTCTGCCTATTATTCACTGTAGACTTTCTATTTCGGAAAACTCTTTGGTACGACAGCAGGTGAAATCAGTCGATTTACTCACATTGCAGATGGAAGCGAGAAGTTGTTTAGCGTAGAGGCTGCGATGGACTATAGTATCGCATGGAGGAAGAGGAATCAATAAATTGACTCAGATGATCTGATGGGTATGAATATGGCCATTTTCAGGTGCTTAAAATTGATTATTTGCGATTTTGGGTTGAGTCACGAAAATGTGTCCCTGAAACAAAGACTGGACTCGATTCTGTTCGTCCCTATACCAAATAATTAAGCGCAATGAAGGTGCACTTTAATAAGTGAAAAAATATTAACTTGAAAATATGGAAATTGATAGAAACATGCTTACGTTATCCAACTCAAATTCGACGGAACCAATAGAATTGAAGCAACTTTAACCAGTATTTATTGTTTAACAAAAGATGCACCGAGAAAGGAGTACACTCTAATTGACCTTGATTGCGTCTATCCTATACTTCTGATCCCTCAACAAAATTTAATTTCTCTGCTTTGCTAGTAGTTGAATTTCGGTAGTTTTTTCCTCTCGTCTTGGACGAAAAATGACTTCTTTTTGCCGTTTCAGTTATGTTCACCCTGTTTTCGTGCTTGGCATTGGCCATCGGAAGTGCCCATGCTTCCAAACGCCTTCACCACAATCTTCTCTCTCGTATTCTTCATGTTCCGACTGGTTTCTTCGACCTTGTTCCTCATGTATGTTCAAGGGAATTTTATTGTTTCTTTAATAGCGTCACTAAGTTCTGAACTTAAGGCAGCTTCTTTCATCCTCAGGGAAGGTGATGAGTGGCAGTAGATCAGTGGGGCTAGTCGTAAGATTCTTTATCGATTAGCTTTGAGGTGGGCACATTTCGTAGGTACCATTGATTAACTTACAGCATCATCAGTTATTGAAACGCCATCTGATCTATTGGATTATATATCAAAAATCAGAGAAATTGATGATTAATTGAACCTAGATAAAAACTTTATTGAGCGAGACTTAGATGGAAACTTTTATAATAAAAAGAAATTTTTTGCTTTTGGGTTTGTATTTTCGAGTTGCTTTCATTTTAATCATATTAGTTTATTAGTCTATAGATAAAGGGAAAAAACTAGATAGAGTGAATAGTTTTATGAGTTATCCATTTTTCTTTCCAGGGTCGAATCATGAATCGTTTCTCAAACGACGTATCAATCGCGGATCACCACTTGATGATATCATTTCGTTCTATGACCAATACGTTATTCGGTTGTTTGATTACCTTTGCTCTCTCTGTTGTTCCCAGCCCCTACATCCTCATCTTCCTGGCTGTTCTCATTGCCTTTTACGGCTTTATGCAGGTGCGTATATTTCCACGTGTTTCACTTACATCAGTCAAATTAGGCAGGTGGTAATGTCACTCTTCTTTGTAGGTCATCTTCGTTGCAACTCGGAGACAATTACAGCGTCTAGACTCTGTTAGCAAGTCGCCAATTTTCTCTCATTTTGCTGAGACGCTTCTTGGGACAGAAACTATTCGAGCCTACGGACTGTGTGACCTCTTTGTAAGCACCAATGATGCTCGTATTGATGCAAATAACCGCGCTTTGTACAGTGTCATTACTGCCACTCGGTGAGTCATTGTCATCTATCATTAGTATTATTAATTAATCCTCACAATTCAACCTCATTTTCTTCTCAATCCTGTTATCTAGTTGGCTTTCAATGATGTTGGAGACAGTAGGTAACCTCTTGACCCTGGCGACATCCATGGCCTTCGTAACTGCAACACGTGAAGGTAGTCTGGATCCGGGTCTAGCTGGTCTGGTCATCTCCTACACTCTCAATTTTACCCAAGGTCTCTCATGGTTTGTGCGCATGTCTGCGGAGTTGGAAACCAATGTTGTCTCTGTGGAACGCATACTCGAATACTCAGAACTTGCCATTGAGGTTAGCTTCTATGGACCTTTATTTGTTGTTTGAGGTTAATTCTCTTTTTGACGCCATTTTAATTTGAGGAAAGCATGCCAATTAACATTGGATCGTCAAATTCTACTTTTTTAAGAAATGTCACTAGGCTATTGACGCGTTTTGTTATTGGTTGATAGACTTTCATATCTAATTAATTTCCAGGCGCCTTGGAAAGTTCCAGATAAACAACCTCCTCCACAATGGCCTGAAGGGGGGATCGAGTTCATCAATTATAGTACTCGTTATCGTGAAGATTTGGACCTTGTTCTCAAATCAATTTCAGTCTCTATTAAACCAAGTGAAAAAGTAATCTCTCAGTTAATAAAGTCATATTCCATTCTGTAATGAATTCTTCCCCTCATCTACCTCTCATTTCAGATTGGAATAGTTGGACGAACCGGTTCGGGCAAATCTTCACTGGTTTTGGCTCTCTTCCGAATCATTGAACCGACGGGAGGAGAAATACGTCTTGATGGAATTAATATCTCTGAGATTGGTCTTCACGATATTCGAGGAAGAATTACTCTTATTCCACAGGTTCGTGATATTCACAAGAAAGTTTTCTTGGTATTGAATACATCCATAGCACTACCAGATCAATAATTCGAACGAGATTATATTAGCTATCGTTAGTTTAGAACTTTAACTTCCGCTTGAAAGGTTTTTCTCTTCAAGGAT